TTTTAAAATATTCGAGCCTCATTTTAGATACTACCCCAACTCAAGAATTAAGTACATGTTAAGACCTTTCCAGCCCTTAAGTTATATAGTGGTATTGACAGGTGTATAAACAGGCGTGTTATGATAGTTAAAAATCAGTATCAGTCTAGCTAGTTCATACTAGATCTTAGCTAGTCCTGAGTTTACCTAGTCACATACGGCTAACAGTGTATATCTAAAATTAGACCCGATTTAATCTTTTTTATTACCATCCTTGAAAATTTTTAGGGATTCAAACGTCCAATTAAAATTTTTATTGAGACCGTCTAATCTATCTCTTTTTGCTTCACTCTGAAAATCATATCCGGCATCACAAGCCCCATCTAGCCATTTAAATATTTGAACCATCTCCTCGTTAGTTTTTATTTGAATGTCGTGATTCTGTAATGTTACTAAATATTCCCATTTTCTTTCCTTTTTGATTAATTCTTTGAAACAGGATAGATGAGCCTTTCCCATACCGTGTCCTTAAAAGAATTTAATTTTTGAAAATTCCTTAAATTTTTTTTGAATTTCTAACCAGCACTATCCACAGAAAACCTTTCCTGTGGAACAATAACATTTGGGAAGCATCTAGATAGTGACAGAATACTTTTATAAAAAATATCATCTGCCTTCGAATCAATAGCAAAACAGTACCAATTTTGGGGATGATAATTAGTAGCTAATTCTGCCTCCAAAAACCGATAATCCTTTAAGTTTTTAAATTCATGTATATATAAGTAGTAATCTCATTTAGCATTCTTTATTTTTGTAACTTATACTATTAGAGTTGAGCGGTATCTGTATACCTAGAATAAAGTGTTTTCGAATGATGATACCGATCTCGATACAGGCTCGGTATCGGGATTGATCAAAACCGGTATAATACCGCCCGATACCGGTCGGAATCATGATACCACTCAATTCTACATTATATCCCTATAAAAATGTTAATGTAAAGATAAGTTTATAATTGAAACCCTACTCAAAAACTGCCTGGACATTTACTTAAGAAAAAACCAAGCTATGTAAATCTAAAACCCTCTAGACTAGAAGGATGCAAATTTTACCATTTTAATATTTTGAGGATCAAAATCGAGGAGGGAAAATAGAGGGGGTATGAAATTCAATTTTACTCACTTTATAAACAACTTTAGCATAAGCAATAGGAAATTGACGTTCAGCCTCTGATAACGGAAATTTCAAAAAATAATTACGGTAATAAATATCTTCACAATCCATAGGTATAGTGTGTAACAAAACTATAAGCCACCTAAAATTTTTTAATTTCTTAAGGTTCTAATGAATGAAATTTTTTAAAATTTTAACCCAATATTGAAAATATAATTTCAAGCAAAAATTAAAAAAAATTTTTAAATAATTTTTTCCGAACTTTTTATGAAATGTTTGTGTAACATAACTACTATAAGCCAGCTTGGTAAAATTTTATTTTTCATATTAGAAATGCCTGAAAAATTTTGCAAAGATTTCTGTGGGTATTTCCATCGATATAGTGTGGAAAAGTAAAAAGAACGAACACTGTATATGTATCTACATCTTTATAAATTAATCTGTTTTTTGCCTTATCTTTAATATATTCTATATCATTGTTAAAAATACGTTTACAATCCAAAAATACATCACAATATGTCTAAACTTGATAAAATATTTTTAAAAAATTTAAGCATAAAACAACTTGTATTTGTTCATGTTTATGCCAATCGTATCTAATTGTCTTTTCATTTTCTGATTTATAATTATCTTTAATTTAATTATTAAAATAATTAATACCATCCTTAGGACAATAATATTTTCTAATTAATTCTTCAGAATAATTAAATTTCGAAATTGAAAAAATAATAAATATAATATGCAATAAATATAACATTACTGAACCAAAAATATTAAAATTTTCCGGAAATTATGAAAACATGTAACTTTAAAAAATTCAGAAGAAATCAAGAATAATTCTAAAATTCTGAAAACATTTTCAAAAACCCTAACACCTTCAAAAATAAAATTATGGAAACATTTCGGAAGTTTTTTTAATATTACGGGAATATTCAAGAAGCATTCAAGTAGTTTTCCGGAAACATTCAAATAATTATAATATTCCGGAAAGATCCCAGAAACGTTTAATTCACGTTATGGAATACCGGAAAATTTTTAATATATTCCGGAAATAAATACTATACATTTTCCAAGAATTCCGGAAACATTCTAAATGACCGGAAACAATAATATTAAAAAATAATAATCAGAAAACAGTCCGGAAACATTTTATAAGTTTGGAAACATGCTCTCTTAATTAATAAACCATTCCGGAAAGATTAAGTATATTTTCAAAGACAGCTTTATTAAATTAGTATTTTCTGGAATCATTGTATAAATAAATTATTCAGATATTTATAAATACCGTATATCCTTTAATAACTACCCTGGGTAATTATTGTTTCGACCTTCCGCTGGAGGGGGTAAATAATAGAGGTGGGGTAATTATTTGAGGGAGGGTAATTATTATTTCGACCTCTACATATTTTATCCTAGCATAGACAGAAACTGGGATATACGATATGATACCGAATGCGGAGGTAAATGTTAACGTTTTTTAGAACTGATCTATATTCCTTTAATATATTCCTATATAATGTACCCCAAAATGGTACCATAGCACCAATGCTTCCGACTTAGGATATATAAAGACACTGTATCTTACATAAATGTCTATAATATACCCTAAAGTGGTAATATACCCTAAAAATATACCCTAAAAACGGGATAAAATAAAGACACATAGTCTATCGCAACTATTTCTCGGGGTGTAAGTATATGTAAAAATATATATCAAAGGCTTTGTAGATAAAAAAGGATTAAGGTTTATATCTTTTGACCGTTTTTTAATTTTTTTGGAGGGAGAAAAAAAAGGAGGAGAAGGTAAGGCATGCATTGTAAAAAAATTTCTGCCAAACATGTACGGGAATGGTGGGAGATAATGTGATAGTACCTTTTTTAATAAATATTTTTAAATTAGTGAGGAAAAATAGGGGGTAATTATTCGAGGCAGGGTAATTATTGTTTCAACCTCTCGCTAGAGGGAGTAACTAATAGAGGTGGGGTAATTATTTGAGGGAGGGCAATTAATACAGGTTATACGGTATATCTAATACTATTTATTTTTTACTTCATTAATCTTTGAGTTATAGGTAAATAAAATGAATTTTACTTAAATTTAAATAAAAATATTTGGTTAATGTATTTTCAAAATATTTTTATGTATTTAATACAGAGTGGGCACAGGACGTTTGATAATGAATCATACAGTTGGATGGGGATGAATTACATAAAAAACATTAAATTTAGAATCCCGCGAAAAAAGTTATTTTAATATAGAAGGATTAAATAAAATTTTAGAAGCATTTAAGTTTGATTACTTAACTTAGTACGAAAATAAGCATACAGTGGTGGAAATTTACTTAGGAAAAAATTTTTTCACGGTTTTTCAAGTTTTACTCAAAAATTTAATTAAATCACACAGAATTTAATAGATAATAATAAATTCAATAGATTCAATAGATAATTTTTTTAATTTAAATTATTAATTAGTGCAATTAAAATTATCCAAATCAACATTTCCATTATTTCTTACCCATTCTCTATGGAAACGTGTCTGTGGCCAATTTTGGTATAATGAAGCATTTAATCTTTGTAATCCTTTATTTATTAAAGTCCTCCTCCTCATTTCTTCATGCCAACAAAGAATGGCTCCAAAATCGAATTCCGGCATCATTTTATTGACGAATAAATATTTTGAAGCGTTCAAATTTAGAACCTTTAATTAAATAAATTTTAATTTTTAAATTTTCAAAAGAAAAATCAGAACCAAGTCTTCTATTCCAAAAATACATAAACCATGACGCCAAATTTTACTATTACAATTTGCGAAATCGTATTCGTGTAACCAAATAGTATACCTTTACAATAAATAAATAATTAGTGGTAATTAGTGCAATAAATAATTTTATTCGAATATTTTAGAATATCAAATATAGTTTGATTTGATATTTGATTTTGCCGTTTGTCCGATCTCTATTGCCATATCTGACTGAATAACTACCATGTGTATTTAAACTTTAGACATATCCCTGAAGGGAATAGCCAATTGAGTTGGTGTAATTATTTGAGGAACGGCAATTGATGGAGGTTTCGGTATTTAATGAGATCCTAGCAAACAAGAGAATCTCGTTACTTGTGACCACAAGTTTTTAGAAAAAAATTAACCCAACCATCGTGTAGAGCATGGATATTAAAAAAGCCAAAATTTGGCAATTCGTTAAACTATGGTATAATTTTTATCCAAAAATTTCTTGTTACAGTTTGCTAGGTTCTCTTGTATGGCTTAACAGAAATTAAATTTAAATTTACCTGGTCGAATAAAATCTAGCCTGATTCCAAACTTCTCTATCAATGCATTTATGCGTAAAAGCATTAGGTGCTCTTAAATCGTCTGAAGTCAAAAGTGTTTGAAGGAATAACTCATCACACCCATAGGGACTTAAATTTATTCTTAGATATTTATTTTTATAATTAAATTATTTTTGCGACCAGCTGTCCAAGTGATCAAGCAATTTGGTTAGATCAAGTTCATTAACTATAAAATCAACAAAAGGTCGTGCCAGACTAGCATGAACATGGCCTTTAGCAAGGTTCATTTTGAGTGATTGTCCTTTGTCATTTAAGCGTTTGTTTAGTGATTCTATATAAAAATTGCATAAAATGAGAAATAATTTAGTTAATTATCCATAAGAACTTATAAAAGGTCTATATCACTTCAGAGAAGGCCAAAGAAATAATCGATATAACTAATCACACTTATCAACTAATCCATCTTTAATTTGTTAAGCTATATGTTAAGTCATAAATAATTTTCTCATAGTCATCGAGATAAGAATGTTCAGAAATTTTGAAATTGTGTGGACAAACTAGGACCCAAAAATATCAAGAATAAAAATAGTCAAAAACCAACGGTTTTTAAAAATTTGTAGTGATTCAAAAGTCCAGTCAGATACATTTAGAAGATGAGCTTTACGTATAATCTGAGCTTTACCAATTACATTGAACTCAACATCACAAGCCCCATCAAGCCATTTAAATATTTGAACCATCTCCTCGTTAGTTTTTATTTGAATGTCGTGATTCTGTAAAGTTACTAGATATTCCCATTTTTTTTCCTTTTTAATTAATTCTTTAAAACAAGATAGATGGGCTTTTCCCATACCGTGGCCTTGAAAAAAATTTTTTTTTAATTTCTTGAAATTTTTTTTGAAAAATTATCTAACCATCTCTATCCACAGGATATCTTTCCTTCGGAACAATAACATTTTCGAAGCACCCAGTTAATGAGAGAATATTTTTATAAAAAATATCATCTGCTTTTGCATCAACAGCAAAACAGTACCAATTTTGGGGATGGTAATTAGTAGCTAATTCTGCCTCCAAAAACCGATAATCCTTAAGGTTTTTAAATTAAGCTATAAAAATAATCAACCTAAAATGTGTTACAAACTTTATCCGATAAGTAGTAGCTCTGGATTTAGAAACTATAGTCCGATATACTTGAGAATAGAACGAAGATCTCGCCCTTTTAGACTAGAAGGAGGCGAATTCTTACCATTTTAATAATTTTTTGAATAAAATGGGGGGAGAGTAAGTTGTGGGAGGTGCTTAATTCAATTTTACCAACTTTATAAACAACTTTAGCATAAGCAATAGGAAATTGACGTTCAGCCTCTGATAACGGAAATTTAAAAAAATAATTACGGGAATAAATATCTTCACAATCCATAGGTATATCTACATCTTTATAAATTAATCTGTTTTTCGCCTTATCTCTAATATATTCTATATCATTGTTAAAAACACGTTTACAATCCAAAAATACATCACAATATGTCTAAACTTGATAAAAATAATTTTTAAAAAATTAATCAGGAAACAACTTGTATTTGTTCATGTTTATACCAGTCGTATCTATTTTTCTTTTCATTTTCTAATTTAAAAATTATTTTTTTTAATTAATTTTTGAATTATTAATAAACTAATACCATCCTTAGGACAATAATATTTTTTATCATATGCTTTAGGATGATTAAAGTTCGAAATTAGAAAAATAATAAATATAATATACAATAAATATAACATTACTGAACCAAAAATATTAAAATTTTCCGGAAATTATGAAAACATGTAACTTTAAAAAATTCAGAAGAAATCAAGAATAATTCTAAAATTCTGAAAACATTTTCAAAAACCCTAACACCTTCAAAAATAAAATTATGGAAACATTTCGGAAGTTTTTTTAATATTACGGGAATATTCAAGAAGCATTCAAGTAGTTTTCCGGAAACATTCAAATAATTATAATATTCCGGAAAAATCCCAGAAACGTTTAATTTACGTTATAGAATACCAGAAAATTTTTAATAATCCGGAAATAATACTATACAATTTTCAAGAATTCCGGAAACATTCTAAATGACCGGAAACAATTTGATTAAAAAATAATAATCAGAAATATTCCGGAAAGATTTTAAAATTTTTAAACATGCTCTCTTAGTTAAATAAACCATTTCGAAAAGATTATGTATATTTTCAAAGACAGCTTTATTAAATTAGTATTTTCTGGAATTATTGTATAAATAAATATATTCAGATACTATAAATATATCTAATACTACATATTTATTTTTTATTTCATTAATATTTGAATTATAGGTAAATAAAATGAATTTTACCAAAATTAAAAAAAATATTTGGTTAATGTATTTTCAAAATATTTTTATGTATTTAATACAGAGTGGGCACAGGACGTTTGATAATGAATCATACAGTTGGATGGGGATAAATTACATAAAAAACATTAAATTTAGAATTCCGCGGAAAAAGTTATTTTAAAATGAAAGGATTAAATAAAATTATAGAAGTATTTAAGTTTGATTACTTAACTTAATACGAAAATAAGCATAAATAAAAATAATTTAAATTAAATTACACAGAATTCAATAGATAATAAGAAATTCAATAGATTCAATAGATAATTTTTTTAATTTTAATTATTAATTAGTACAATTAAAATTATCCAAATCAACATTTCCATTAGTTCTTACCCATTCTTTATGGAAACGAGTTTGTGGCCAATTTTGGTATAATGAAGCATTTAATCTGTGTAATCCTTTATCTATTAAAGTCCTCCTCCTCATTTCTTCATGCCAACAAAGAATGGCTCCAAAATCGAATTCTGGCATCATTTTATTGACAAATAAATATTTTGAATTATAAAAATTTGGAGCCTTTAATTAAATAAATTTCCATTTTTATAATAAATATCAGAACCAAGTCTTCTATTCCAAAAATACATAAACCATGACGCCAAATTTTACTATTACAATTTGCGAAATCGTATTCATGTAACCAAATAGTATACCTTTACAGTAAGTAAATAATTAGTGGTATATTTATTGACATATTTGCTTTAATAAGTACATGAATTGTACTTAATGTTTCGATATATCCATGAAGGGGATAACGAATTGGCTTGAGGTAATTTTTAGAGAGGGTAATTTATAGAGGTTATTAGGTATTTAATGAGATTCTAGACAACAAGGGAATCTGGTTAACTTTGACAAAAAATTCTTAATGGACGATATCCTATTGCCTTTTTTGGCTTTATGGATATGGAGACGAAATTTACTAGATACGAAGTCGTAAATTTTATTCTTGGAGTGGTTGTGAAGCAAAAAAGCCAATTATCTTAAAATTTTTCGTTACCGTTTGTAAAGTTCTCTTGTATGATTTAATAGAAATTAAATGTGAACTTACCTAGTCGCATAAAACCTAGATTGATTCCAAACTTCTCTATTAATGCATTTATGCGTAAAAGCATTAGGTGCTTGTAAATCGTCTGAAGTCAAAAGTGTTTGAAGGAATAACTCATCACACCCATAGGGACTTAAATTTATTCTTAGCTTGTATAATTAAATTATTTTTGCGACCAGCTGTCCATGTGATCAAGCATTTTGGTTAGATCAAGTTCATTAACTATAAAATCAACAAAAGGTCGTGCCAGACTAGCATGAACATGACCTTTAGCTAGGTTCATTTTGAGTGGTTGTCCTTTTTCATTAAAGCGTTTGTTTAGTGATTCTATATATTTAGAAAAAGATTTATTGGATTTATCCATATAAAGTCTATAAGAAGGTCTATATCACTTCAGAGGAAGCCAAAGAAATAATCAGATATAACTAATCACCCTTATCAACTAATCCATCTTTAATTTATTAAGCTATATGTTAAGTCATACATACTTTTCTCCGAGTCATCGAGACAAGAATGTTCAGAAATTTAGAAATTATGTGGACAAACTAGGACCCAAAAATATCACGAATAAAAATAGTCAAAAACCAACGGTTTTTAAAAATTTGTAGTGATTCAAAAGTCCAATCTGATACATTTAGTAGATGAGCTTTTCGTATAATTTGAGCTTTACCAATAACATTGAATTCAACATCACAAGCCCCATCAAGCCATTTAAATATTTGAACCATTTCCTCGTTAGTTTTTATTTGAATGTCGTGATTCTGTAGTGTTACTAAATATTCCCATTTTCTTTCTTTTTTAACTAATTCTTTGAAACAGGATAGATGGGCCTTTCCCATACCGTGGCCTTGAAAAAATTTTTTTTTTAAATTTCTTGAAATTTTTTTTGAAAAATTATCTAACCATCTCTATCCACAGGATATCTGTCCTTTGGAATAATAACATTTTCAAAGCACACAGCTAATAACAGAATATTTTTATAAAAAATATCATCTGCTTTTGCATCAACAGCAAAACAGTACCAATTTTGGGGATGGTAATTAGTAGCCAATTCTGCCTCCAAAAACCGATAATCCTTAAGGTTTTTAAATTAAGCTATAAAAATAATCAACCTAAAATGTGTTGCAAACTTTATCCGATAAGTAGTAGCTCTGGATTTAGAAACTATAGTCCGATATACTTGAGAATAGAACGAAGATCTCGCCCTTTTAGACTAGAAGGAGGCGAATTCTTACCATTTTAATAATTTTTTGAATAAAATGGGGGGGGGGAGAGTAAGTTGTGGAAGGTGCGTAATTCAATTTTACCAACTTTATAAACAACTTTAGCATAAGCAATAGGAAATTGACGTTCAGCCTCTGATAACGGAAATTTCAAAAAATAATTACGGGAATAAATATCTTCACAATTCATCGGTATATCTACATCTTTATAAATTAATCTGTTTTTTGCCTTATCTTTAATATATTCAGTATCATTGTTAAAAATACGTTTACAGTCCAAAAATACATCACAATATGTCTAAACTTGATAAAAATAGTTTTAAAAATTTAATTATATTAGAAATCAACTTGTATTTGTTCATGTTTATGCCAATCGTATCTAATTGTTCTTTCATTTTCTAATTTAAAAAAATTATTTTTTTAGTTAATTTTTGAATTATTAATAAATTAATACCATCCTTAGGACAATCATATTTTTTATGAGATGCTTCAGAATAATTAAATTTCGAAATTGGAAGAATAATAAATATAATATGTAATAAATATAACATTACTGAACCAAAAATATTAAAATTTTCCGAAAATTATGAAAACGTTAACTTTAAAAACTTCGGAAGCAATCCGGAATCAAATTTTAATATTCCGGAAACATTTTCAAAAACCCTAACACATTCAAAAATAAACTTATAGAAACATTTCGAATTTTTTAATATTACGGGAATATTCAAAAAGCATTCAAGTAGTTTTCCGGAAACTTTCAAAAAATTCTAATATTCCGGAAAGATCCCATAAACGTTTAATTTACGTTATAGAATACCGGAAAATATTTTAATAATCCGGAAATAAATACTATACAACTTCCAAGAATTCCGGAAACATTCTAAATGACCGGAAAAAATTTGATTAAGAAATAATAGCCAGAAAATATTTCGGAAACATTTTACAATTTTGGAAATCTTACTTAAATAAATCATTCCGGAAAAGTATATTTGCAAAAACAGCTTTATTGAATTAGTATTTTCCGGAATTATTGAATTGATAAATATATCCAGAATACTTATGAATCTATCGATGTATTAATTTTTTTACTTCATTATTATTTAAAGTAGTTTGCTTAAATTTATATTTATAAATAGTAATTTGGATAATGTACACATTTTAAAAAAATTTTTATGTTATTTTTTTAAATATATATTTAATATAGAATGGCGCCGGACGGTTGTTAATGAATCATACTGTTTGTATATTAAGGGATAAATTACATAAAAAATTAATAAAATTTAAATTAAATAAATTTTAGAAGCATTTCAGTTTAATTATTTAGGTAATTTAATGCGAAAATAGGCATAAATAATAATAATTTAAACTAAATAACATAGAATTCAATAGATAGTTTAATAAAAAATTAAAAAGTTTTTTTTTATTTTAATTATCAATTAGTACAATTAAAATTATCCAAATCAACATTTCCATTAGTTCTTACCCATTCTTTATGGAATCGGGTCTGTGGCCAATTTTGGTATAATGAAGCATTTAATCTGTGTAATCCTTTATTTATTAAAGTCCTCCTCCTCATTTCTTCATGCCAACAAAGAATGGCTCCAAAATCGAATTCCGGCATCATTTTATTGACAAATAAATATTTTGAATCGTTCAAATTTGGAACCTTTAATTTAATTAATTTTAATTTTTATAAGAAGAATCATGAACCAAGTCTTCTATGCCGAAAATGCAGACATAATGACGCAAAATTCCACTATAACATTCCGAAATTCCCCAATTAGCAAGCCTAAAAATGATATTATGTAAGATTGGGAATTATTTTGCGCTGAGACTTTTTATTAAATTCGCCAACTCTGATGTTCAATAGTAAAAAAAATCTGATTTCCGAGTTCCGACTTTTGAGCCAGTTCCGATTTCCGACACCTCGGAATGTTCCGACCCACCTCTGAGTGGAACGAACTTTACCAACTCAATTGTTTAATGAGAGATCGAGTAAAGATTTATTTAACAAATTTTACCTAGTCACATAATAATCATTCTGAGGCCACAATTTTTTATTGCCATACTCAATGCATTTATGCGTAAATGCATTAGGTGCTTGTAAATCATCTGAAGTCAAGAGTGTTTGTAGAAATAACTCATCACACCCATAGGGACTTAAATTTAAATATTTCATTTTATAGTTAAATTATTTTCGGGACCAACTATCCAAGTGATCAAGAATTTTGGTTAAATTGAGTTCATTAACTATAAAATCAACAAAAGGACGTGCCAGACTAGCTTGAACAATTCCTTTGGTGTGGTTCAGTTTGAGAGGTGATCCATTAGAATCAAAGCGTTTGTTTAGTGATTCTATATAAAAATTATATAAAATAAAAAAAATTTATTGGAATTATCCATAAGAACTAGGGTTGCGTTTTGGATTCGAGCGACGTTAAATTTTCAAGTTTGAATTTTTTCGAGTTCTGTTTGAGCAAGCTGGCAACTCTAATATGGGCCATATAGGCAAGAATAATATCAGCTCATAGGAAGGCTGAGAACTAGATTAGATCTACCTTCCCTTTATTATCTAACCGTTTATTAATTTCTAAAGTATGATCTAAGCCATAATTGAATTTTTCGAAAGTTTGCTAGAAATTTTGAAGATTTTTTGCAAAATTGTAAAACACAAAAAATCAACCGTTTTTAAAAACATGTAGTGATTCAAAAGTCCAATTAGATACTGTTAAAAGATGAGCTATTCGTGCGAGTTGGCCTGAACCGTTTACATCGAATTCGGCATCACAAGCCCCATCAAGCCATTTAAATATTTGAACCATTTCCTCGTTAGTTTTTATTTGAATGTCGTGATTCTGTAATGTTACTAAATATTCCCATTTTCTTCCCTTATTAATTAGCTCTTTAAAACAGGATAGATGGGCCTTTCCCATACCGCGACCTTAAAAAAAATTTTTTTTTGAAATTTTTTTTTGAAATTTTCTAACCAGAACTATCTACAGAAAATCTTTCCTGTGGAACAATAACATTTGTGAAGCACCCAGTTAATGAGAGAATATTTTTATAAAAAATATCATCTGCCTTCGAATCAACAGCAAAACAATACCAATTTTGGGGGTGATAATTAGTAGCTAATTCTGCCTCCAAAAAACGATAGTCCTTTAATTATTCAAATTTATTTTTATAAGTTCAACTAGCGTCTGGGGCGTTGCCACTTAATGGAGCGAAACTGCTGTCTCTAGCGTTTTTGGTACTGAGTTGGTTACGTAAAAATTTTGAAAAAAATCGGAATTTTTCACCTAAAAACTCAAATATCTCTTCTCAGACTCAAGTGACACCTTTGAGAATATTTTTTATCGATTCGTCACTTAATTCCCCATCGAATGACACCTCAATCATCTTTGTACGACTAATACTTCAAAAGTTATGCATTTTAGAAAAGAACAGAACATACAACATTTTTAAAGTATGCGGGCCTTCGGCCCGCATATTTATTAAGAATTTAATAGTTGGAAGTCTATTTGAGGGCCTTCGGCCCTCAAATACAATCTTTAACTTTAATTTTTATAAAAATTACTGTTCATGACTGAAAATAAGTTTCGAGACTCAAATGTCCTTTTAATATAACCACAGTTTCAAGGTTACCCGAGGGCTACGCATAATTTGCAGTTTTTTGTATCATTGCTGCAATCATTGCATACACAGTTTTTTCACCATTCGGTAGAAAAAAGTTGAGACTCAAACGTCCTTTTACGCAAAAATAATTTTATTCACGTTCTGATAAGTTTATAGTTATTTTCCGATCATTTCCACCACTTTTTTGCACTCAGACTCAAATAACTTTTTTGAGACTCAAGTGTCCCACTTAAAAATATTTTTTTCGAACTCCCCATGTTCGATTACCTATTATAGGATCAAGTTCAAAAATTGCCTATCAGCACATAAAATTGACCCTTTTGTCCCGTGGCATTTTGTCTTCAGTTCCCATAAAATCTTCACAAAAATAACAAAAATGCCCACCCCAAAAAATGGTTAATCACGCGTAACTCAATAACGGAAGGTCAGATTAACATGATCTTTTTTTTATTCGATAGGGAATGCAATGGGTTTGTGCCCTCCAAGCAAGGTCGAAATCCTCCGGGTTCGGGATCAGATCGAAAAGTCGAAAAAACTTTTCGACATTTTCGTCACAATCGACTTTTGACACACTTAAGTCGACTTTTGGAACTTTTCCATAATTTTCCTCTATGGCCCCATATATCCCCTTTCAAACGAAAAAAAGTTTGTCCGGATCCGACTTTCGAGTCAAGCCCTATTTTTTCTTTCCCGGGGTACCTAAAAATTTTTTTGTTCGTTTATAAAGATTTTTCATAAAAATTACAAATTTTGGCACTTTACGATGCCATTACTCCCGAACGGCATATCCGTTTTTTACAATTTTTTCGACATTCGATAGAGAAATTTAAGCCCTTTTAAATATATCAAAATTTCGATCTTCGAATTTCGACTTTATGACGAAATATCGAAGAAAAGACAAAAAATCATCATTTTTTGCGCTCAGACTCAAATAACTTTTTTGAGACTCAAGTGTCAGACCTAAAAATATTTTTTTCGAACTCCCCATGTTCGATTACCTAATATAAAATCAAGATTAGAATTTTTATATCAGCACTAAAAAAGTGATCTTTTGACGCGCCGACGTTTTGTCCTCAATCACCCACATTAAATCCCAATTCGTCTTTACCCCGGTTCGTTGTATCACGCATAAGTCCCGAACGGATAGTCGGATTTGCGTAAACTTTTTTTTATTCGACGCGAAATTCAGTGAAATTTTAACCTTCGGGAAGGGTCGAAATCGCCCGGGTTCGGGATTATGTCGAAATGTCGAAAAAACGTTTTTTTCATTTGGTCGTAATCGACTTTTGATCAACTTAAGTCGACATTTCGAACATTTTTAGAATTTTCCTATATGGTCCCATTAATTGCCTATCAAACAAAAAAAAGTTTATTTCGATCCGACTTTCGAGTCGAAATATTTTGTTTTTTGTCGGGGGTACCCGAAAAATTTTTTTGCAAAAATGATACAAAACCCGATTTTGGCACTTTAGCAGATGATAACTCCTGAAGGGATTTTCCAAACTGGGCGAAACTTTTACCATTTGATTGAGAATTAAAAACTGGTCTAAATGTACTAAAAATTAAATTTTATACATTTCGACTTCATGTCGAAAAATCGAAAAAACCTAAAAAAATCACAAAAAAACGCCAAAAAGCAGGTTTGGGATACAATAACTCCCGATCGGAAAGTCCGATTTCAATGATTTTTATATCATTCGATAGAGAATTCAAAGTAGATTCGAATACCCTAAAACTCGAAATTTGTTCATAACGTCTTCATGTCGAAATGTCAAAAAAACCAAAAAAATTGAAAAAGTGGAAAAAAGGGGGTAGTACCTTTTTGTCCCGGGTATAACTCCCGTTAGGGAAGTTCAAATTGAAAAAACGCTTCGGTTAATCGGTGCAGAATTGAACGCTGTACATTTCTTCTTCCAGGTCCGAAACGCTCCGACTTCGTTTTTGGACATTCATCCTCAATTTCGACTTTCGAAATTTCGAAAAATCCGGGTTCCGAACTTTGTCGAAACTCGTCGTGGGGACATTTTTTGTAGCTTTTGGGTCATCAAATTTTTTAAAAAAAATTTCATCCAAATCGGACCACTACTTTTCAAAATTTTTTCAAATTATTATGAGTTGGTAAATTTTTTTATATATAGATAACTAGCGTCTGGGGCGTTGCCACTTAATGGAGCGAAACTGCTGTCTCTAGCGTTTTTGGTATTGAGTTGAATTGCGTTTGAAAATTTGAAAAAATCGGAATTTTTCAACTAAAAACTCAAATAACAATTCTGAGACTCAAGTGACACCTTTGAAAATATTTTTATTGAATTCCCCACATTAATCCCCATCGAATGACACCTCAACCATCTTTGTACGACCAATACTTAAAAAGTTACAAATAATAGTATACAACACGATAAAAACCAATTTTCAGTATGCGGGCCTTCGGCCCGCATATTTATTAAGAATTTAATCACTATTTGAGGGCCTTCGGCCCTCAAATACAATTATTAAATTTAAGTTATATAAAAATTAACTTCCGAGACTGAAAATGAGTTCTGAGGCTCAACTGTCCTTTTAATAATAACCACGTTATTAAGGTCACCCGAGGGCTACGCATAATTTGCAGTTTTTTTGTATCATTGCTTCAATCATTGCATCCCCAATTTTTTCATCATCTAATAGAAAAAAAGTTGAGACCCAATCGTCCTGTCACGCAAAAATATTTTTATATCAGTTTTGATAAGTTTTCAGATATTTTCCGCTCATTTCCACCACTTTTTCACACTCAGACTCAAATAACTTGTTTGAGACTCAAGTGTCACTTTTAAAAATATTTTTTTCGTACTCTCCATAGTCGATTACCTATAATAGTATTAAGTTCGAAAATTGAATATCAGTATAGAAAATTGACCCTTTTGTCCAGCTGGCATTTTGTCAACAATTCCCACAAAATCTACCTATAAAGAACAAAAATGCCCACCCCAAAAAATGGTTAGTCACGCGTAACTCAATAACGAAAAGTCGGATTAACATGATCTTTTTTTTATTCGATAGGGAATTCACTGGGTTTGTGCCCTCCAAGCATGGTCGAACTTCTACAAATTCGGGATCATGTCGAAACGTCGAAAAAACTTTTTGACACTTTCGTCACAATCGACTTTTTCGTCATTTAACTTTATAATTTCGACTTTTCCATAATTTTCCCATATAATACAATAGATTGACTATTCATCAAAAAAAACATTTTTCTGATCCAACTGGCCCTTCTTGAGATCTTTGATTTCTCATCTGGTACATCTAAAATTTTTATGCTCGGATATCGTATCAAAAAATTTTGAAATTTTACCTTATCATAACTTCCGAACGGCATATCCGTTTTCCAAAATTTTTTAATATAAGATAGATAATTCAAAGCGGATTCAAACGATATATAATTCATATTTTTCGCATTTCGATTTTATGTCGAAATTTCGAAAATGCGGCTTCAGACTCAAATATCTCTTCTGAGACTCAAGTGTCGAACCCTAAAATATTTTTTTCGAACTCCCCGTAGCCGATTACCTATTATAGGATCAAATTCGAAAATTGTCGGTCAACTTTGAAAAATGTTCCCTTTTGTCGGTTGGCGATCTGAACAACTTCTCCCATAATTTTTCGTCCAAATTATACATCGTCAATCGCTCGGATTGCAGTTGCAAGCATAACTCCCGAAAGGAAAGTCGGATTCGGATGAAATTTTTTTTATTCGATAGGAAATTCAAGGGAGATGTGCCCTCCAAGCAGGGTCGAAATCGTCCGGGTTCTGGATCATGTCGAAATGTCGAAAAAACACATTCCACGTTTCGCCAATATCGAATTTTGACCAACTTAACTCCACTTTTGGAACTTTTCTATAGTTTTCCTCTATGGTCCATTCAATTTCCTATTAAACAAAAAAAAGTTTGGCTCGATCCGACTTTCGAGTCGAGCCCTATTTTTTCTTTGCGGGGGTACCTAAAATTTTATAACTTTGTTAAAAAAATTTTTTCTTAAATTACAAGTTTCGACATTTTACCATGCCATAACTCCCGAACGGGTTATCCGTTTTTCGCAATTTTTTCGACGTTTGATAGAGCATCAATAAGTCATTCAAATCTACTAAAACTTGTATTTCTCGCATTTTGACTTTATGTCGAAATGTCGACGAAAAGACAAAAAATCGTCATTTTTTGCGCTCAGACTCAAATATCTCTTTTGAGACTCAAGTGTCCGACCCATAAATATTTTTTTCGAACTCTACGCATTCGATTACCTAATATAGGATAAAATTTAGAATTTTTATATCAGCTCAAAAAAAGTGATCTTTTGATGCTCCGACGTTTTGTCCTAAATCTCCCCTATTAAACCCCAATTTGCCCCAACCCCGGTTCGTTGTGTCACGCATAAGTGCCGAACGGATGGTCCGATTTTCGAAAACTTTTTTTTGTTCGAAAGGAAATTCGAGGGAGTTTTGCCCTTTAGTTGGGGCCGAAATCGCCAGGGTTCGGGATCATGTCGAAATGTCGAAAAAACGTTTTCGACATTTTGCCAAAATCGACTTTTGACCAACTTAAGTTGACATTTCGAACATTTTTAGAGTTTTCCTATATGATCCCGTTAATTGTCTATCAAACAAAAAAAAGTTTGTTTCGATCCGACTTTCGAGTCGAGACTTCTTGTTTTTTGTCGGGGGTACCCAAAAAAAGTCAAATTTTGACAAAAAAATTTTGGCAATTTTTGACACTTTGGGGGGCCATAACTTTCGAACGGGTGGTCCAAATTTAAAAATTTTTCCGTCATTCGATAGAGAATTCTCTTCTCTATCGCAGTAGTCAAAATCGATTTTTTCACATTTCGTCTTCATGTCGAAATGTCGAAAAAACGGACAAAAATTCAAAAATGCAAAAAAAGTGGGTAGTACCTTCTTCGACTGAAAATATTTCGGGTTAGGGAAATCGAATTCGAAAAAGTGCTTCGGTTAATCGGTGCAGAATTAAACGGGCTACATTTCGTCTCCCAGCACCTTATTTTTCCAATTTCGTTTTTGGACATTCATCCTCAGTTTCGTGTTTCGAAATTTCGACATTTCGACATTCCCGAACTTTTCGAAACTTTTGGTCAACAGCAAATTTGTGCCCCCGGAGATCATTATTTTTTTGCAAAAGATTTCAGAAAGTTTGACCGATCTGAAAAAAAGTTATAAAAATTTTAATTTTGAGTTAGGTGCGTTTTTTTATATATAGATAACTAGCGTCTGGGGCGTTGCCTCTGGGCATGGGAGAAACTGCTGTCTCTAGCGTTTTTGGTACTGGGTGTAAGGTAGGGTATATAAAAATTTTGAAAAAACTCGCAAAAAATTGTTATTAACACTTTTATGAGGATCATTGTCTGATTTGAAATAAATTTTATTTTTTTACTTGGTCAAAATAGATCGGAAATTTTTACAAAAAGAATTTTTAGACTCAGCTTGATAAGAGCTTTCGAATGATATATTATTTGACCCATTTATCTTTATTTTCGAAAAAATTATTTTTTGTCCGAAAATCATGGTCGAAAAATTACTCTAAATTTTTAAAAAATCATAACTTTTTCAATCTACAACTTTTTTAAATATTTTAAATTTTATAATATGCAGAAAAATAAGTTCTTTAAAGAAAAAATAATTTTATTCAGCTCCAATGTCAAAAAACCAAAAATTTTTTAAAAAAACCGAAAAATTTTGGATTTTTTAAAAATCGACCCCTACTGCACCATGTTAGAAAATTTTTAAAGTATTTTGATCTTAAAAAATTTCTAATTTTTTGTTCTTATTTATAAAAGAAACTGCATACAAAAACATTAATCCCTAAAAAAGTTATGACCATTCAAGTATTTCCGATTTTTTTGAAAAAGGGGTACCCCTTTGGAAAAAATCGAGGAAATAAAATTTTTTAATTTTGGCTGAAAAAATGTGATTTATAGTGGAAAAGCATACGCTGAATATGAATCCGTTGACAGAAAAATTCTACAAAAATTTTTCAGAAAGTTAGCGTCCTAGAAAAATTCCAGTCTCGGACATATTTTGGAATTTTTTAAAATTCAATATTTTGGGATAAAGATATAATATAAAAAAGTTTGCTGATAATTTTTGAACACTTTCAGTGTCTTGTTTTGTCAGAGAAGTTTGGGTCATTCCATCATTCTAATATAAAGTTATCTTTAATTTGTAAAATTTGCTGATAATTATAAAATTTTTTGTCAATATTTTCAGTCGAAATTAAAGTTAAAAAATCTGATTTGTAATTTTGGATATATGAAGAAATTTCTATTTAAAATAAATAACTTAATATAAAGTAAGTCATAGATTCTTTAGAAATCAATACTGCAAATAATAATACTTAATACAATGAAAATTCAAAATTTAATTATTTAAAAAAATTTTTAAAACAAAATTAAAATAAAATTGCTGTTAATTGGAAATAAATTATATGTCAAAATTTTTAGATAAAATTAAATTTAAAAATCTGATTGGTCATTTTTGACATATAAAGAATTTTCTTTAAAATATATAACTTAATTAAAGTAAGTTTTAAACTATTTGTAGGTCAATACTTTTAATTATAATATTAAATACAACGAAAATTTAAAATTTTACTTTTCAAAAATTTTTTTAAAACAATTATTAAAATAGAATAATTTAAAAAAATATCACAGATAAATTATAATTAAAAAAATATAAGGAGCCAAAAATTGTGAAAATTTGAATTCTTAGGAATGAGTGAGATGCATTACACATCCCTCCCCAAACCTAAAATAAAAGTTATTGTAACTTTAGTAAACAGAATTTAAATAAAAAATATTTTCTGGCTCAATATAAAGAAGATAAATATTTTAAATGAAAGAAAGCAAAAAAAAGCAAAAAATAAAATAACACAAAATAACTGAAACAAAACATACTTATCAAGAAAAAATATAAGGAGCCAAAAAGTGAAGAAAATTTGAATTCTTAGGAATGAGTGAGATGCGTTACACATCCCTCCCCAACCCTAAAATAAATGGTATGTTACTTTTGTAAACAGAATTTAAATGAAAAATTTTCTGGCTCAATATATAAAAAGGATCTAACATATTTAAATAAAATAAACAATCAAATAAACAAACAAAAAATAAAAAATAAGTTCCACCAAAAGCATTTTTAAAACAAATATTAATATAAAATAATTGCACATGAATAATTTAAACAAAATATAATTAAAAAATATAAGGAGCCAAAGAGTAAAGAAAATTTGAATTCTTAGGAATGAGTGAGATGCATTACACATCCCTCCCCAAACCTAAAATAAATGTTATGTTACTTTAAAAACAAAATTTAAATATATTTCATAGAAAATTTAACTATAATTTTTTGGCTCAATATATAAAAATGAAACTTAAACATTAAATTAAATAGATAAACAAACAAAGAAACAATGAAATGACAAACAATATAATAATTTAAAATCGAAGCATCCATTTAAACATCCAAAAATTCAAACATTCTATAAAAACCATAACATAACTAAAACTCCAACCAAAAACGTTATAATCATATCATCCAAACAACTTAAAATCAAATCCAAATATTAACTCAGTTCCCGAAATATTCACAAAAAACTAACAGTTCTCCTATAAAAGTTATATATATATATTAATAATTTAAATTTCATACAATTTACCAAACAATTCACATATCTTTTCCCAAAAATACAAATCACATTAAACCCAAGCATCCAATTAACCAAAAATCCAAACAACTTAACACTATAACATCCAAACAACCAAAAATCTAATCCAAAACATGACCTAGCAATCAAAATATTTGCAAAATAATCTCATTTTCACTAAACAAAAATTATTAATATTATTTAGTAATTTAAGCTACATACATTTATCCAAACAATTCTCAATTTCTTTGCCAAAAATCCAAAAACGTATAATCCAAAACATCAAATAAACTTAAAACCCAAAACATCCAATGAACTAAAATCAGCCAACAAAACAACATAAAATCTAATCCAAAAAATAATTCAACAGCCAAAACTTTTCCAAACAAATCACTATTCGTCCTTAAAAAATTATAAATTTTATTAATAATTTAAACTACGTACATTTAGCCAAACAATTAACATTTATCCAAACAATGCTCAATTTTCTTCATACCCCAAAAAACTAATAATCCAAAACAACCAATGAAATTAAAATCCAAAACATGCAACGAACTTAAATCACACAGCAAAACAACAATAAAGCAATCCAAAATATATTCGAAACAAATCACATTCCCCCTTAAAATAAATTTGAAATATTATCCATAATTTAAACTACATACATTTATCCAACACTTCTCAATTTAAATTCCAAAGATCCAAAAGCTTAAAATCCAAATAACCAACAAACTAATAACAAAACATCCAAAATCATCCGAAACCAAATCATATAAAAAATTCACAACAATCAGCATATTCATATTTTAAAATTATCATTGCGGGGTCCAGGGTTCTGTTGGTACGTCGCTTAGCAGATTTAAAATCCTAGCATTCTCTTCACCATGTTCATCAGGCATTGGACGCTTAAATTTATAATTAATTATTATTATTTGAAAAACATTCTACCAAATATATTGGTCGATAGTGTAAGCCTTCAAGTCTAAGGACGATGGTGTTGTCCATATTATGTGCACGAAGTATTTGAAATACTTGTCCAAAGTCCGTAATGTTTGTAAGACCCATCTCTTCTGCTGAAAGGCCAGGAGAGAGGAAAATTCCTTGATATTCGTTTGGCATAATTCTCCAATGAACGCGACCATTTCCATCAACCACACGTCGTCGGAGATTTTCAACGATGAGAATACGGCGCCCAAGAACAATTTCAGCATAACGGATTTCAAGATGAGATCCATAGCGCGTATTGTTGTTGTTTGCCGGCTGCATCATGTGAAGACTATATTCTCGCATAGATCTTCGAGGATCTGTCACATCCAAACGAAGTCCAGCCTGTCGAATATGTGGAGCGTCCCATTCGATCTCGTGAATGCGCTCATCAGTGAGGTGTTCATCTGCGATGTTGTGCAGGTCTTCTTGATAACGGCGTGCAATAAGTCTTCTTAGTCCTCTTTGATAGTCTTCGTACAAGAAATTAACGTGCAAAGCCAGTCCCTCTGATCCAGCATATAATGCACGAACAATAGACCTATATTATTCATTATAAAAATAGGATTAATCAATAAACCGAAATAGACAATCTCCATCTCCGAGCACATTATCAAGAAAATAGTTTGGCAAATCAGCAGATCTTTGCTGAGTGTTGTATTCAATATTTGGCGATGTTGTTGCCTGTGAAAAATCGTTAGCCGATGTTGTTGGCATTGGTTGAATTATAGCATTAGCCGATGTTGTTGGCTGTTGTGAGATTAAGGCAGTAGACGATGTTGTTGTCTAAAATAGTTAATAAGCTTTTCTTATTTTTTAAAAAAACACCTGTTCATGTGGGATCCGTTCAAATAGAACTGGTTCGTCGCCGGATGACATGGCAAGTTCCATCGGTCCAAGCTCGTTGAGGTCTTCTTCGTCAATCATTGCAGGAATGACTGGGTTCTTAACTCTGCGGTCTTTGCGGAGTGTGGCGACCTTAACACTTTCAGCATCACGAGCTCTTGAAAGAGCAACATAAAGTTGTCCATGGGAGAAGCACTGTGAGTGGTCGAGTGCGACTCCAACGCGTGAAAGTGTTTGCCTAGAATATAATTTACTTAAATATTTGTAAAAAAATATTTACCCTTGAGACTTGTTGATTGTCATAACTGCGCCTGGACGCAATGGAAATTGAACCCGTTCACATCGCACCATCCCTTCCTGGGGAGCCTTTGGATCAGCACCATATTGAAACCTTGTTCTGAACAAATCATGTTCAATCCCTTTTCCAGAACCCGATAAAATTCGACAGCGAATCAAATTTTGGCCCAAACCAACAATTTGAACTCTAGTTCCATTACACAAACCATTTTGCACCTTAAGTATCAAAATAACATTTTTAAAAATAATATTTATTACAGATAAATTAATGATGAGCATCATGATAGCTCCAATGCGCACACGGAGGACATGTTCGGGAATTCCTGGCGGTGTTTGCCTCGTTAAATTTTCATAATCGACATCAGACAAGTTGTTTTCAAGAGTTACATCATCCATAATCGGTGTTGTAATCGAATGATAAGTTTGTTCATTTCCGGCGATACGATCCTATATTGTTTAAATATACCAAAAATTAAAATAGAAAATACCATAATAATATTATTCATTTCAAATGTTTCTGTGTTGAGTGGGCACAAAATTGCACGACCACAGAACTCTTCCCAACGATGAATTGCAGATTGAAGCAGGTCTTGCGGATAAACAAAGTTTATCAGTTCTTCTCTCGAGTTAACACAAATGCTAACAGGGAGTTGAACTCGCTCATCTGAATCATTTAAAACTCCAGTTCCGACGCATTTCAGCAAAGTTCTGTATTGTTCTTGACCAGGTTGTAAGCGGAGATTGGATTTCAATTTTCTTGTGACGAAATTTTTGAACAGTACTGTATTCTTAACCGAAGCATCGAATTGATGCAGCAAAGTTCCACCAGCGACTACCGGGAGTAACTGTTTCCAATCTCCTCCAATAACAACACACTAAAAATTTTTTTATATGTAAAACATTATTTGTAAATTTACTTTTCCACCAAACGGTATATTCTTGAGCGGTCGAGGAGCAACGGAACGAAATAGACGATCAACAAATTCTAACACATCCTTGTGTTGCATACTCACTTCATCGATGATAATTCCATGTAATTTACGGAGTGTATCGGCGAATTGACCTCGATAATCGACAAAAGGCTGTGTAGAAGAATCCACATGTTTTTGTCGGCATAGTCTTTTGTGGACTGTTGCGCCTCCATAAAGAAGTTCTGCAGCAATTCCAGTGCTAGCCATGGGCATAATCAAGAATTCGTTAGCATGTAAGAATGCGATCAACTTCTATAAAAGTTATTTTCAATCTGAATTAAATTAGATTAAATTACATTGTACATGAAAGTTTTTCCAGATCCACCTTCTCCTGTTATGAAGAAATATCTTGGAATGTCTTGCGCAAAAGAAGGTTCTTCTCCGTCGATGACATGACGTGCGCTCCACATACCTCGAACAATTTCATCGATGAATCGTTGTTGTTCCTCAGTTGGGCGAGGATCAGCGTAAAACAGGCGAAGATAGTAGTCTTGGGTCGAGCCTCTTTGATGTTCTTCTAAGAAAGGTCGATCAACATGCGTTCGAATCATCATTTCAGGATCTACTTCAGCGTCATTAAGAAGTTCAGGTTGGATGTTACGGCAAGATGGACGTGGAAGACTATAATTTAAAGATATTTTCAAAATGAGTTAGAAAAAAACCGAATCCTCTCACACGCCGTTTCAAATGTACCATCCTCCCTTTCAATTTCATCGGGTCTTATTCCATTAGCTCTCAAAAACCATTCCATATTACACAAAACATAATCTCGGCGAGCTTCAAAATCAAGTTGCGCAACACGTGTCCCATACTAAATGTGAATTAAAACAAAATATTAGATATAATACATACAAGCCAATCCTCCGGCAACTGAATAACATAATCAAGCAAAGCAGTCGGGTTTGTCAAATTAGTTGATCCAAAGAACATGGCAAGCCATCGAATGCGCTGTTGTATGCGCTTATTAGAATCAAAAGCTTCTTGAATTGTTCTTCTCCAAATAATATCATCAGCCATCAGTCCTCGAGCCTTTGCAGCTTCTAAAAATGTTGGGTAGACAACATCTTCAAAAGTGCGCAGGTCCTCCCAGCAAGTGGGATCAACAACAACAGTTAGCAAAATCTAAAATTAATGTAACTTTAAAAGCTTGACTTTAAATACTCTAATTGCAAGAAGCTCCAAATTCGTTGGCGAAACAGTGCGAATACGACAAAGTTTCTTCTGATGTAAATCGGGATTCACATAGAATTGCCAGTTCTTTTTTTGCACATTATAGCGAAGTTGTTTGTATGCATTTCCATAAGTCAAGCCTGCAGGATGTTCACCAATTAATTGCCTTTGACGATTGAAGTCGAAATAAGCCGTTAATTGGGTGCGGCGTTCTTCTCCTTCATTTAATCTTCTTTGCAAATCTTGAGCAATTTCCAATTCTCTACCTTCTTCTACAACAACATGATGACCCTGAGGTCCATGGATATCAAGTTCATCAACCTTGAAAAGATAAATTTATAACAAAATACAAATATAGTTACAATATGGGATCGCACAACCAATTTTGTACCCCAAAGGGATAAAAAAGCCTCCATCGATGTTATGTATCGTGCTAGACGCAGTTGGTGGAACTCATCATATCGCCAAGCACCCCCTTCAAATCCTTCCTGTTCAACCCTAATGAATGCCATGTCGGCTCCTTTCATCACATATTTTGTCACATATTTCACACATCCGTCACCGGCCACAAGTTCGACATTAATACTAAACAAAACTAAATAATATTTAAATATAAATATACTGTGATCTGTATTTAGACAAAAGAAACTGGTTGTATGGAACAACATATTGATTTGTAACCACATGCTGTTTACCATAACGATCGACATATTTATGTGTATTTCCAAACAATTCGGGATTCATTTTGCGTTCATTCTCCGATGTTGGTGGAGGTCGTCGTCGATATTTAGGGTAGGCGTTATCCGAATAGATGTTGTTATCAGAATAGGCGTGCTTAATTTAAAGATACAAAGACTATACAATTAAAAATTTTTACAGGAAAGCGTTTTGCACATCTTAATCCGTCTCGCAGGCAATGCTGATTGCACGTATGGACATGTTTAGTGACAACAATTTTATGCAAAAGCCGTTGAGAATTTGCCGCATCCGTACGATCCATTGAATTGGGTAAATCTGGTATTTCAGCGCTGATATATTGTTCCATATATTCTTCTTTTGAGGATATTTTTCCGGAAGATCGCATTTTTTCCCAATCCAAGATGACGGCGAAGTGGACATGAGGAAGGCCACTAAAAACGTAACTAATAAAAAAGTGAATAAGAAACCGTTTCTGGTGTTCAAGACTATGAAACCATGCTTTGACTGGGCCAAGAATTTCTCGTTCAGTTATATCTTTTACAATTTCAGCAAGTTTGTCAAGAAAGATGCGACAGACTTCCATTGGGCGGTCTGACCAGTTTTGATGTTCAAGGAGTATATTGCTTAACTCTGGTGCAGCCGGATCCATAGTGTAAGTGATGAGAAGATCGATCGATCCAATTTCCCTGCAAATAGTCATGCATGCAGCGTACTGCTTTTGGTAGTATTGTCGAGATCCTCTGAAATGTTCATTTGTCAAATACACTTGGCCAATGGGTCCTTGCAGTCCTATAATTTATTTATAATTAGTAAATTTATTTATATGCCTTGTTTCTCCAAAAGTTTCTTTAGCCAGTCCAGCAACACAGCTTGGCGAACATAACGGTACTTTCCTTGCAGTTGCTTCATATACTGAACCTTTTGCGCCTCCAGTCTTTGATTATATGTGATCGTGTAAAGTTGGGCTAGCTGACCCCACTCCCATAGCCAATGATTTGCCTTCCACGAGGTTCCTCTATGTTGACACATGTATCTGAAGTATTGAGCTCTCGATACATTCTCACGCTGATGTTCTTCGCGAATGTCAATATCATGTAGAAATTCCTCGCCTTCTCCGAGATCAATTTCCGGGTCAAGTTCTCCATCAGCACCAACAATTACACGGCTACTTCTCTGAAAATTTTCTCCAAGTCGCAAGATAAGCTTTATACCATTTTCTTAAAATATTTTGTTTCATTAAATTATGCAATATTAAAAACCATATCCATTTTGTCCTTTTGGAAACAAAAGTGGGAAACATGCTGCATCCGCCGCTCGATGCCACCATTTCAGACTGACTTGTCCAGTTCCCCTTTGGCCTGTTAAAATTACATCATATTTTCCTTCTGGTGGAACATTTTCTCCATTATCCAAATAAAATTGCGCTACAAGTTGGCTTCCCACTGCAGTTTCAACACTGAGCCGACCAGGATGAATTTGATGTAAGACAGAAGCATCAGACGGATTAATATCAATGGGTGGAACCTAAAATTTTTGCTATTTTAAATAGAATTTAATAAACAACGTTTTCAATTGTGCGTTCGGTGCCACGTTTATTTGCATCAACCACAAGCATTCGAAACTGAAGCTGTAGATCGGCTGTAAGATCTTTGTAAACGTCAGAGGCTATTTGAAATAGTTCCGCCATCCAATGATTTTGCTTTAAGATGTTAAACAATTCTTGTAGAATGACTGGCTAAAAATAAAAATTATTTTTAAAATTCATATAAATTGTAACAGACATCTAATTCATTTTCAGTTGAAAGCTCATTAAGTCTAGTTACAGAAGAATTTGGTGGTATTGTATACAACTGGCCGCGTAATTCTGGTTGTTGTGGTCCACCAGGCTGGCGAATGTCAAATAACATATAATTAAACATGTTATTCGTTTTGACAATCCTATATGAGTCAGGAAAGTCAAAAGTTCGCTCCATACGAATTTGGCCGAATGCAAGTTGATCATTGTATCGCAATACATTTTTCAAAAGACGATCTCGTGTCGCTGAATTTGCAGGATTGTGTAATAACATATCAATTCCTAATGGAACGTCTTGCATATTCGTAAAACGTTGTTGTAAATTCACACGTCCCTTTGCACAACATTTGACAAATGCGGATGGACCAATTGTTTCCGATGGTAGCAATATAGCCTTGCAAAAGGGACAACGGCAGTCAATTTCTACATCGTTCTAAAAATAGTTTCAAGTTAATAAATATTTATTAATATACTTTGCAAAGAGAATTATAATATTTTGGCATATGTTTTGAACTTTTAGCACCGCACCCAAGTCCAGAATGAGATCGATAACAATTGTGAGTGATAGGGCGAGTTTCAGGCCACTTATCATCAAATGAAATTTCAGAAAAACGGGATATAGTGCTTGAATGTCGCGTTGATCGACGCAAAGTAGTAATTGAAATGTTTGTTTCCGATGAAGATTCTTAAAATGTTAGCTTAAATAAAAAACTGAAATGTTTATGAACCAATGCTGTCAATATCCAACTCGCGACAGATTCCTTGCATAACTTCGTTTTCAAAATCATCAGAAGCTTGAGAAACAGGATCAACAATTCTATGCTTCCTACCCGAACCAACTCGCTGTTTCTTACAGGGTCTTCCTCGTTTACTATTTAATGTATTAGCTATAAAACAAAACGATTATAAACATTTGTCATGAAATGATACCGTCAATGAGTTCAGAAATATCGTCCTGACTATGTGTCGGAGTTATAGGCACAGTGAAAATGTCAGAATCTATCGAGACTATAATAAATTTATGCAAATAACTAATTTTATATGATTTAAAATACATTGTTCATCGTTGCAGATATTTATACGTTTTTCCGAAACAGAATCCAACGAACTAATTGAATCATTTTCACTTCTTCGTTTTCTTGAATCATTCTTCTTTTTTTCAGCTCGTTTCCTGTCTTTTGAAACCATTTTTGACGAAAAATATTTAAGCAATAATAATTTAATCTAAAAAATACTATAAAATACATTTAATTCAACAATGAAAAAACAAATTGAAAATAAATTAAAAATAGAACATCACATTGAGATATAATCGATTCTATTTGGTTATAAATGTAAAAATGTTTGTTTATTAAAAATATATATAAAAGTAAAACGACAATCTGATCTCAAATTAATAAGTAAATATAAAATATAAATCTTAACCTAATCCGCTGTCTTCCTCTTTTTGAGGTTGACTTAGCCTTTTATCCAATATAAACGAAAAAATGGATAAAAGTTGCCCAGTGCGCAGCCCGGTGCTAATCACCTTCGTGGAGGCTTGCGGAAACGCGCACCACCCTCCCCCGACAGCTATTGATTAACATTATACCGTCGGATTCTCAGGGTCCCTAATTAAACTAAAAACCTGTACACTTTACTAAGTAAAACAATCCATGCAAAGAACTTAAAATTAAAATATTAAAATCAGGCAAACACTAATAAAACTAACTCAAATTAATTGAAACAAATTATAAATATTGAAATGAAACAATCGCCAAATAAACCAAATAATCAATACAACCAAGTAATAATTGAATTAAATCGCTAATAAAATTAATAATAAATCAAACAAAAGCTAACAAACTTAGCAAATCGTAATCCAAAGCCTTAAACTCGTTAATATAAGCATTAATATTTACCAAACAATTGAACTTTAAACAAAACTATAAAAATTGGAAATCAACATAAAACTAAATATAAATTAAGGCAAATTAATATTGATTGAAAAATCGTCAAATAAGTAAACAGGTAACAATGCAAAAATACTTTAAGCAAATTGATTGTTGTAATTAGATTGTCACAAGAAATTTAACTTAAAAATATTCAATTATAAAAAATTATAATATCAATTATAATAGCTTGAAATTATACAATTAAAAACAAAAACAAAAATCAAACATACATTAAATATGTAAACAAATGTTAAATAATTGTTTATCATCAATCACATGAGGTAATATTCCAATAATTGAGTAAATCACTAACAAAAACACTAATAATAAATTTAAAAAACGTTAACTTACTCAAATTAATATAATAATTTGACACAATAATTATTGACGCCATAATTGACACAATAATTATTTTTAACACAATACAATTATCATATAAATCGCACTGAACTAAAAAACGTTAAAATTTTTAGAATTTTAAAAATACTCAAAGGTGGTTCTAAGACTTTAACGATAATTAAAATATTTTATGCCCAACTAAAGACAATTATTCTATATTCTTAAATAAAAAACCGCATTAAAACAAAAATTTTACAAAAAAATATTTTTTAATTTTTAGGGGGTCATACGTCCGGCACCCACGATTTTTGGCACTAAAAATTTTTTTAACTTTATAATTTATGGTACGTTTTGAAGGCCTATTTATTATCTTTCGAATGAGATATAAACACCCTCGATACTATGATTATTGACAAAGTTATAAACTAAAAAGTGAAGGCAAGTCGACCCGAAACCGTGAACACGAATTTAGCAAAAACTAATAAAAACATTAATTAAATTTAAAAAACGTTAACTAACTGTAATTATAAAGCAACATGAAGCCAACAATAAAATACATTTAGCAAATCAACGCAACTAAGCTAAAAAACTGTTAAAAATTTTTAGAATTTTAAAAATACTCAAATATGCGTTCAAAGACTCTTATGACAACTAAAATAGTTTTTTCCCAATTAAACCCAATCACTCAATATTCTTAAATCAAAAAATCGCATTAAAACAAAAATTTTACAAAAAAATATTTTTTAATTTTTAGGGGGTCATACGAACGGCACCCAACATTTTTGGCACTAAAAATTTTTTTAATTTTATAATTTAGGGTACGTTTTGAAGCACTATTTATTAGCTTTCGAATGATATATAAACATTCTCCCTGTTATAATTTTTGACAAAGTTATAAACGAAAAAGTGAAGGCAAGTCGACCCAAAACCGTGAACACGAATTTAGCCAAATTTTCTATAAAATGGAATTTTAGTGACTCTTAACTATTAATTTTGATATAGATTATTAATATTATGATAAATAAGCTCATTTTAAACAATTCATTTCAATTATACCCCAAAATTGAAAAAGTCACCCCCAGATATCAAACTTTCGAGCATAACTTTTTTACCGTTAAAGATTGAGCTTAGCCGTTAGAATTTGGGGGTTTATTAAAGGGGGGTAAACTTTGGTCGAGGAATCCAAAAAACATACTTAGAAGTCCGTATCTCTGCTCAGAGACTCAGAAAACCCCCAAATTCTTCAAAAATTCAACATGACAAAAATGTCTTCTAAAGACTCAAAAACCCTCCCCTATACTGTTTTAGAACTTCTAATGACTAAATAAACATTTAAAATTTTTAACACTCAAATGAAACTTTTTAACCCACAAATCCTTTGTACAGCTCCATATTGTTCCAAGTTCTGACATATTGATTGTAGACGATGTAGATGAACCATATTGCATGTTGACATAAAGTGATAATTTCGGATGCATGCCCAGTGGATTCAAACCGAGAGGACCAAACGTACCAGGAGTCTTACACCACATAGAGAATGCCATGAATCCACCAGACATACACCCTTAAAGAGATATGGCCTGTGCATTCAATACATGATGCAAGAGTGCATGAACCTGTCCCTGTAGCTCCCGCGAACTACAGGTTGATAAGCGAACTTATCAGCCAAGTTCATGCCTCCTGATAGCTTAGCCATCAGTTGGCTTTGACCCTCGGAGATCAAGGACCTGTTCGCACGCCTCGGGAGTTGCCACACCAGGGCGAACATCGAGCTGCCAGGATTTCAATCCGGTGCGTTTGGAATATGCCATCACACCCCATACGCTTCGGACGTCAGGGTGAGGTGAATAAGCCGAAGCTTATCCACGAACATGGCAGGGACTCCAGTGGGGCAGCATGGCCGGACATTCCATGCTTTTCTTGCTCCGTACCGATGACCGTGTGATCCTTCAGAACTCGGC